GAAAAACACGGGGCTAGTCTGGGTTGTCTAGGGAGAAATGGGCAACTGAAATGCTCCTTTGCTGCCTTTCAGGGGTAGTAAAGCTTACTAAATGAAAACTGTTTCGAGAGATCTGTAATAGAGGCCTTACAAGTCAAATCGATTTAATTCTTAGGGTGCTAAGTGTGAACGCACAAAAAGCATAGTAAGAATTTCTCACCAATTGTCACCTTATCCTCAGTGGCTGAGTATGTACTTGATCCATTCTGCATACTAACACCAGGCACTAATTTTAGATCACAGGGACTATGAAGAATACAATTTCTAGCTCTTGACTTGCTATATTTTACTTATGGCAAATAGAGGAAACTGGCGCATAAACTTTTTTCTTCCCCAGCAAGGGAGGTGTCTGCCTCCACTAGCAAGGAATCTCCTACCACGAGAGTGCACTCAAAACAAATTACTGTGGGATACAAGACATGATTTTTAATCCTATTCTAAAACAAATAAATGTTCAGAATTTTGTTCTGAAAATGAAGCAAAAAATAATTTAAATTGTGTAATATTGGTTATTATCCTAGCATAAAAGTCTGTCTAGAATTTGAGCTGATTTTGCTCATATTTGTTTGATATAAATAAGCAGTAACCTAGAGCAGAAGAGGATCAGGTCTCCTGCATCTACTCTCCCGTTGTTCTGAAGGGTGAATTCACTGCTGCATAAATCTCATAAAAGGTTTAAAGCCCCACAGCAAAAGTATTAGTAAAGGACGCAGCCATAAGCAGGTTGTGTCATCTGGGATGCATGTCAGCCTGACGTATTATCCATCGAGTGCTTTGTTTGCATTTGGTAAATACGATGAGCTACCGGCTTCGTGCTGAAGTAGCACTGCAGAACTTAGCAATGGCTTATCCAGTCGGCAGTGAGCAGGATGAGCCTCTGGTCGCCATCCAGCCGGTTTGTTTTGTTTCACAGGATTGCTAGGGCATAGTTCTGTCCTCTCGCAGTTGATTCCTCTTTTGGGAGCAGATATGGGGACAGCTAAATGCATATAATGTATGTATAGCCCTACTCCAGAGACACTACTGTCCGTGGTTTGGGCAGTCCTCCACTGTATTTGCATGGGCCAGGGCTGGGTATGTGGCTACCTTTAAAAATAGGACAATAACTTCAATGTGTTTTCAACCAGAGAGCAAAGAAGGATTTAGAAAAAAATATCAGGAAAAGAAAGTGTATGTATCAGTGTTGCCAACTCACAGGGCAGCCGGCCTATCAAGCAGTGAATAGTGGCAATTAAATAAGGGCAACGCAGAATAGCTAAAATGAGGCATGTTATCCCCAGCTATCACAGCATCGCTGTACTCCAGCTGAGGACCCAGCACACAGCTGGTTTCATCAATAACTGTGCGATACCCGCAGGCCCTCGAGCCTGCACTGAACAGGAATCCTGGGGGAGAGCCCAACCCCGGCGTACCAGCCCATCTGAGCCCATCGTTTTTATCCCAGTCCATGGAAAAATTATTTTAGATCATCTCATCACTTTAAGCATTTTGGTAAGTGTTAATATACTTTCAGCGCAGTGGAAGTAATCACCATATGGCTGTAAGATTTGCCATCTGTCCAGAGATGCCGAAATACAATTAGTCCATGTAGGCCATTTATCAATCTATAAGTGACAATATTCACAGTCCTGGCAATTTTGGCTGCTGACAGAATCAGCACTTGTATAGGCCTACCTGTCTGGTCTTATTACAATCAATACATAAATGAGACAGAAAAAATCACGTCGTTCAGCTGTGTCCTTCACCCTTGACAGAAAGGAAAAAAAGTCTATATTGGTGTAAATGAGACTGAGGAAATGTTATGCCTTATTTTTTGCAGCATTAATTGGATTTTTATGTCTAGTAGACCTTAATTTCATAAGGCAAAGCCAGATTTACTTGCAGTCTTTCAATCAAGAAATAGCAGCAGGACAGAGTATGTCACAGGGGAAAAAAATATTATTAAATCCTCTCCTGTTGTATTAACTTCCAAGGCACAAAAAGCTAAATGTTAGAAACATGAGAAATGTGATCATTAGCATGATACGGGTAAGATTTTATTCTTCCAAGGTTTCTTGTTTGACTTCAGAAAAGTGAGAAGATGGCTTTTCAGCAGAGTGAATAATTTTTTTTAAATAAGGTCAAGGCCTTTTTATTTTAAAATGACTAATCATCTGACACTATAAGGGGTCTGACTTTTGGCCGCTGCTGCAGAGCTAGCCCCCAGCGGGTGTCCTAGCTTGGCTGCTCAGGACTGCTAGCCTCCTTAAAACTTGGGTTAGATTTGTTATGGCTAATGCATATCCAGAAGATAACTTGAACTTTTTATTTGGTTTTACATCTTGTCTAATAAGTTTATAATAAGAATGTCTGCTATGGTTTTTTTATTCTATAAATTTTCAGCCAGCCCACACTAATTTTTGTGACTCTGCTGACATGAGAATGTCTTCTTTTTTTTTCACATATTTGCATTATAGCCTGTAGTTATGGAACCTGCATAGCATGAAAAATGCTGACACTTGAAATTAAATCCTCCCATAGCCCACACCTCTTATAACCTGTACCTTGCACAACCCACAAAGTTGGAGACGTTGGCATGCAGAAATCAGAAGTGCCGAGGGAGCAGGACTGCAGGGATCCGAAATAGGGGGCTGTTGAGGTTCAGGGTTTTCTGGGCTAAGTTTCTCCCAATATTACCTGCAAATATGCGCAGTTTGCTTTACTGCGGTGTTAGCAAGTTGTGGGGGTTTAGTTTTGTGTTTTTACTGGTGTGCGTTTTTTTGTGGCAAGGGGAGTAGTGCGGTTTTTTCGTTTTGTAGATACTGTGTTTCTGATGTATAACCTGGTGGTTAAGTTTTTCAAATTTAGTAGTTTTTCTCTCTGAAGCTCAGGAGATTAGCAGAGGATCTTCACTTTTGTGCTGGAGTTGTTGACAGCTTTTTATACCAACAAATAAATGTACATATCTGAGATCCATACTGTAAATCTGATGGCAACAGATGGTTTTATATTTTTAAAGATTAAAGTGAATAACATTAGAAATTTCCTTTGTATTTTTATCTTGAAGCAGAAGAAATGTGTCATTCTTGGATCTTATTGGCTGTTAGTAAATACATTAGTTTCAAGAACCGTGTCCCCCCGTTCGTTAGAGAGGTGCTGCCTGTGTGCTAGCAGCAACCAAAATACTCCGGTTGTTGATTCTATTAGTCTATTAAAATCACCAGAAAATGGAAATCTGCTTTTTTCCAGGTAGTCTAATTTAAACTGCATTCAGTGGGGAATGACGCTGGTGTTAGCTGTGCTTGTTTGTGCCCAACACCTTGCCCTTTCCCGACTGCAGCTGTGGGGTTGCTAGCTGTGAGCACAGGGGATGCGCTTGCACTGGAACCTCGCTGCTTTTTTTAATACACCGTCTTTGGTGGTTTTGACTACGTTTGGTGATTTTTGCCTTCTAGATGGTTTGGTCTAGAAGGAGGCTGGTAACAACAAATCTGTTTAAACATGGCAGTGCTGTCGCCAGCCTGGTGCTGTTCTCAGCACGGGCACAAGTTGATACATGTACCGAAACCCGGTGCGGGCATGGGCTTGCATCTTTCTAATCCCTTACAGAGTAAATTGCTTATTCTTTAATCGCTTTTAATTTTTACATGCTTAAGTTTCATTAAAGGCATGCATCCTTGTATTAAACCATCTGTTGGCACCCTTTTTCTTGCTGTCTAATAAAGCACTCATACCTGAGTGTTTTATTAGCCCAGGTGTTCTGGCAGCATCTCCGGTCACAGTGTGTACCCAGCACAGGGTGCGTGCCGTGCCCTCCGTGTGCTGCCTGCATGTGGTGGTGGCCACCGCGACAAGCAAAGCCCTATCATTTTCTTCTGACCTTACGGTTGGTAGAATTCCTTATTTGATCCTTTAGGCAGTAGATCAAAAAGAGTTATACAACTTATTCTTTAAACTAAACTGATTGGCTTTTTTTTCCCTAGTGTAAGTGGAAGAAAAGCCTCAGGGGAGAGCATTTGAATAGGGTTTGGGAAAGCATATCGATAATTACATGCATGGATTAGTGCACAAAAGTACTCCCCTCCAAGGATCCGCTTAGTTTTGTGGCATTTGAAATAATGGGGTGTTTAATCATATTATTTTGCAATAGTGAGGCTTTGATTATGCTACTGATTAAAATAAACTTTTTGGATTTCTTTGTGCAAAGATAACCTCATCGGCCATGCAAATTCTTATAGCATGGGAGAAGAAGTCCTAAACGTAAGGATGCTGCCTTGGTGGTGTCAGTGGGTTTTACATGCACAAACACACTCATGGTCTTTCACTTCAATCTTAGGTTTGTAGGTACAATGTATTTTGATCATATATCCGCTGACATTTAATCTCTTCATTTTTAAAATAAACACCAAATAGTGCACACAACCTCAAAGTATCCCCAGCCTTCTGCCACACAGAGGACATAATGCAAAGGATTAACAATAGTAATAATGACTCCACTAGCATGCTAAAAGATTTTTCAGATGCAAAATAAATTACATTCTTCCTCCAACATTGTGTTTACATTATTTTCTACTCTCTCATCATTTCTCACCAATGCTACCTCTAGATGCGTATGGTGTCTGATGGGGGGTGAGGAGGCCCAGGAGCGACTGGGGCTGCTGGCACCTCACCTCCCCAGCAAGGCCAGCGCTGGGGGCTCCTGGGCAGCGCTCGGGGGGCGGGTGAGGGCTCTGAGGAACGCTGCCTCTTGGTTTGTTATGGTGCTCAAGGAGCTTGACGCAGTTCAGACCTGTACACTGGCTCCTTATTTCTCCTTTGTAAAACAAACCAACCAACCCCCACGGTGTTCTACCTGTGCATGAGAAAATTCATGGTGGCACAGAGCTGCAGAGCTGTGGTTTCATTCAGGTTCGATTGGGCTGCTCTGACAGCAGGAGAGGCCGATGTGGGCCTCGTGGGGGTGAGCTGAGTGTTTCCCGCACATGCGGTACTGCACACCCTGCCGTAATGAGCTCCTGCGGGGTCCCTCCTGCTCGAGCCTCCCGGCGCTGCAGCAGAGGGTCTCGCCGAGAGCTTTCCAGAGCAGCCCCTCACGTGTCAAATGCAAAGCTAGTGCGTGCCAGCGCTTCGTCCTTCCTAACACCAGCTGCATGGGGTAAATTCTGCTGCATGCATGCGGGTCGGTGAGCCAGAGCCCGGGGAGCTGTAGCAAACCCGGTGTTCCCTGGGTTTGTGGCTGGTGTGGACTGCTGGCGCTGGGCAAGCGCAGGGGGAGGCTGCTCTCCCGCTCCTGCAGACTTCTGCTCTCTACTCCAAATTTACACTTTCAATTTACAATGGCAATCTCTCGCTGAAATATGACAATACAAACATTGTGGCACAGAGGAGGCTGTGCTAAAAGCATTAACTCTACTGGAGCTGGGGCGAACCCAGAGGATGCAATTTTTAACTGATGCAGAGAAATAGGAAGGCTTTGGGGGTCTGTTTATGTGCTGATGCAGCCTCATTTGTCAACAAGAGTAGGAGAGATGCTGGGGGTAAACAGAGTACAAGTATTTTTTTCAGTTTAATAGGGTTTGAATTTATCCCTATGCAAATGGGAGGCTGTGTAAACGTTACCGGGGGTGCAAATTTATGGATTCTCTTTCAATGTCTTCTCAGGAATAATCTCTGAAATAATCAGAGTAACACAACCAGTTTCACACACACATGCCCCGACTTGTTTTCTTCTAATAAATAACCTTACTTATGGAGGATTAGTTCAGGATCCTCTCAGTTCCTGTCACTTCGGTATAAGTGTTTATTCAGAGTGTCTTGAAAGGTTAATAATTGTCTGGAGATAGCCCAAAAATAGTGTGAGCTTTTTCACTGCCCAAGTTAAGCCTTTTAATTTGTATATTGACTCCATAAAGGCATAATGGTATTGTGAGACCTTAGATGTTACAATGATTTTCATACCGAGGGCTTTTGTCCTCAAGATTTATTCTTTCGGACTTACTCAGCCGCAAATCAAAAATGAGTTTAATTAACGTCTGTGCTTTTAACAGAAAATTCCTCTTTAGCTAGTTGTTTTTTTTCTTAATTTTTTCTGTCTAAGTAACTGGAACTATTATGTTTCCTACAAATGCAGGAAGCACATTTGCTAATTACATTCTGTCTGTTGAAATAATAATGCCTGTCAAAGAAGGGAGCTAAAAAGATGGATTTTTTTTTTCTTCATGCATTTCATATATTTCTGCAGGTGAGTTGATATCTAATCTAGTATAAAGTGGGCACCAGAGAATCATGACTGTGGTTATTTGAACGAGTTGCACGACCTTGCCCTCGATTAGCGCTGCTGCCAGATTCAGCACTTCTTTTCAACCTCATCGTGAGGAATTGGTCTGCCTGCAAAATAGGAATTTCAGCAGCTGAAGAGAAGGACTTTGAGTAAATTATATTTTAAAAATAGCTGTTTCTTTCTTGTTTTCTCTTTTTTTAGGGATGGTGTAATTTCTGTCCTAGTAGTCGGAGTTTTTCAGAAGTTGTTCCCCGTACCCTTCTGTGAACTCGCAGTTCCACCCTGCAGCAGGGAACACCCCCCGGGAGCGCAGGGCTTGGCTAGCAGAGTACTGACAAATGCAGTTTAAGGTGTGTCTGCGTATTTTTCTTTATGGAGAGAAAAAAGAAGAGGAAAGACTGAGTGCAGTTGTCCCCTGCTAGCCCGGCCTATTGCTCTGGGCCAGTTCTCCCATCCCTCGTGTATATCAGATATTAAGGCCTCCCTCTTCTCTCTTCGCTCACCCTTCCTGCTCTGTATTGCTCAGGGTTGCTTCTCCATCCTTCCAAGTATTTTTTGCAATGGAAATACCTGCGTGAGGAGGACTGTTTGCATTGCAGGATAAATGGGAGCTGCCCAGGTCTGTGGAGCCGAGCCGCTCTGGGCAGACCCCCATACGGCCACCAGCGCGTGGCTGCAGGCGGGTGGTTTGCAGAGCTGGCACCTGTCCCACCTTCTTCCACATCGTGTAGGAGCAGTTGTTGAAACCACCGATACCTTCTCTCTGGTCTGTAAAGACTGTTAATTTTACAATAGTCTCTTTTGTTGAGTGGTGAATATTCAGCTGTTGATGTAGCCTTTTAAATTCACGTAGTCAAAAACTTCCCTGGGTAGAAGATCTGGTATAAAACTGCCCTGCAATGATAGCAATAGCAAAGCTACAGGGAGGAAATGAGGCGGTTTAATTTTATTTCCAGGCTTGCTACTGGCTCTGTTATCCTGAGATGCCGTCTCGCTCTCAATGGCTGTTTCCTCAGGTGTAAAATGGAGCCATTACCCACCTGCTTGCTTCACGCTGTGAGTTTTGCACCCTTGCAAGTTGAAACAGGCTCTTCACTTCTGCTGGTTGTGTACGCTGGCAGCCGGCACCAGAACCGCCTGTCGCAACTAATGAGATCTGAATGACCTGGATTAATTAGCATATGCCAATTTGGGAAGGGAGCGAGCTGCCTGCTTTCGTAATGCTGTTCCGCTGCTACCACATCTGTAAAGTGTGCAGGTTTAGCGTTCGCCTCTCCTCAGCTCTGCATATTGCCCGTGCTGACTGGGCCCAGCCTGCCGTCCTGGTCCCTGACCCCAGCCGTGAACTGGGCAGTGATGGACACTGAGGTTACACTATCTCAGGGAATTGGGCTGAGGCAGCTGAATTTGCTTTGTTTGTGGCGAGCGTAAGGGGGATGCCCTTGTCTTGACTGGAGTGCGTGTGGTGAGGCGAGGAGGGGTCCTCGGTCATCATTAAGAAGCTAATTCGTGTGGTTTTCCGCTTCCTAAAAAGATTTGATCCAAGATGGCACAAGCCTTCAATATGTAGAGGTAACAGGGTGGAGGATAGCGGACTCTCTCTTTTGCTTTGAGCAAAGGTCAGTTTTGTGTATAAACTGCAACCGGTGTGCTAATTACTATGTGTGACACCATGAACTGTAACTTCTCCCCACAGCAGTTATGTCCTTCATCAGAGGTCTGCCTTGACTTGGATTTTGGTGTTTCGGGGAGAGGGGTTCGTTGTTTTTTTAAAGTTTGAGATGTGCATGTATGAACAAGTGAGTAGTGTTACGGGTAGATGAAACAGTATTTTCACAGGTAATTTTTAGGCATCATTACTTGCCTGGACTTTCATTGAGATGAAAATTTCAAATAGGAGAAAAATCTCCATCCATGAACTCAGGGGCCATCATGCAACAGTAAAATCTAGACAGGCAAGGCAGCAGCAGCCTGGCAGGGCAGCTGCGCACCCCGAGGCATGGGGACCCCCGGTGCCGGCACTGCTGTCGGCTGAAGGGGGACATTTGGTGACTTCTGGGATCTTGGAGGAGTGACTGGAGAGCTGGCTGCTTTCAAGGGGCAGGATATATTTATTCAGTTTTGTTTGGGACCGAAAGTACGGATTTGCCTCGCTGATGTGCTCTTTGGAGCTGTGCATGCATTTTTGAGAAGTCGGAGGCACAGATAGCGCTCGGTGGCTTTGGGAGCTGGCGACGTTACCGTCCCGCTTTCGCGCCGGAGTTGAGGGCGGCTGTCAGGCGGCCCGGTGGGAGAGCCGTGCGGCTGGCCATGCCTGGGGGGGGTGGTGTGGGAATAGCACTCCTCTTTTTAGTAACGTTGCTTATTTTTGCGTTATCATAAATAAATACAACTAGCACTGCAAACTCCATTATATGTGAAGATATACATAAAGGATTAGTTCTTTTTATCGCACTGTCAGGCAGTAGTAGCGATGCTCAGTCCAAATAACTGTTGACACCAAGTTTATCATGTTGCGTTTAGCAAATAAAATTTTTTGTATCATGACCAGTGATGGGTATGTCACAATGTAGGATTTTGCGTTAGTACCTACTCTTCTTGAAAGATCCTCATTATCTAATACTTGTTATAGCAAATCACTGCAGATCTGCTGGCGCTGTCAGGTAGCATAAACCTCAGTGTGTGCATGACGCTGGCCTGTAGCAGGAAGCACCACGTTCCAAAAACTCCACGCTGACGCGCTGTCTGCAGGCATGTGCATCCTCCACCACATGGCAGCTAGATGAGGACATGTTCTTTTCAAAAATATATTTAGTCCAATTGGTAAATTAGGCAGTTAATGCAAAGCTGTCTAGTATTAGTGTGGGGAGAGCACAAATAATCCTGTCCTGTAAACTAGGAATCCTTATCCCAGAAATTTTATGTGATCTGTTAATGAAAGTTTTAGCAAAATGTGCAAATAGTGGGTTTGCCTCTGGTGGAGTACCAGAGCTCCTGTCACAAATACATTTGGTGTTCCAGATCCTACAACAAGTAAAGGAGCTGCTTTGTTCTATTTACTGCTCGGTCAGCGCGTCCACCCGATGTGCACTGGACACTTTGCACATTTAAAAGAACTTGGGTGCTGATCCCGCAGGCACCCACACGAGTCACCGTGTTGTATTTACTATGAAAAAAGATTACTTCTGTGTAGAAGTGTTCACATCATCAGTGCCTTGTTCGGAGCCGGAGCCGGCTCCACACGGCCCTGCGTGTGGCTGGGGTCCGGGCGCAGGGGCTCTCCCAGATGCCAGCTCGCCGTGCCGCGGCTCCATCGGCCACCAATACCCCACAGCCCTTACGGAGCGGGCTGCCAGTCAGCAAAGGCTCTTTACAGCTGAAGTGATTTAAATCGCTGGTTGCGCTCATGATTCAAATGATAAACAAGGAACTTTGACTTAAATAATCTGAACTTTTCCTAAGTAAGAGCTCATTCCTGTTGATTAGGAAGAGTAATATAAAACACATGGCTTGCAGCTAGTCACACACTTGTAAAATTTGGCATGGTTGTATATTAACCAGAAAGTGATACTGTATCTCACACAGCTGTGGATGCAGTTAGTTAGCTCCAGAGTCTTGGTTTTTGCTTTTCAAATTCTTCAGAAAAGGTTTATGACGTATTTCTACATTGATGGAGAATGATTTTTTTTTTTTTTTTTCCTTGAGATTTGTCACATATGACAAAAGGACGGAAATTAAAAGTCAACTAAAATGTGTAAAACCATGACTTGAAAATTGCAATCGTATTTATAAAACATGCTGGCCATCTTTAATAATTAAAAAATCTTATCAAAATGCATTTTCTGTCTTAATCTGCATTATTAAACAAAGCACTATTAGTTATAATTTAGGTCTCCATTAGCTACTTTTCAAGCAGCTTTACTCTAAACAGCGGATGTTACTGTCAAATTGATTTTTAAACAGAATTTTTTTGTTGTTTAAAGAGTATTTAACCAATCATTAACAACTTTGGTTGAAATTAATGAGATTTTAAACATTCATAAATTCTCTTTGTCTTCTGATCTACGAGTCCGCAGCCTGGCTGGCAGTGCTGCTGCTCCCTGCCTCCCCGGGCAAACGGGCAGTCTCAGGTGATGGCCAGCTTGCCGGGGCTCAAATGACGCAGCATGTGCTGCGGGAATTTCAAGTTAGCATTGCTGTTGTTTTAAGCATAAAACTTGATAAATCTCTGATAAAATGGAAAGGAAAGAAACCCTGGAAAACAAAGTCATTCCTCTATCAGTAAAGTCTTTCTTGAATGTCAAAAGTTGCAAGTGGGTAACACAGAATAATGCTTCTCAATTTGGAGCTCTCTAAGGCCGTGGTAAGTGTTTAAAAGTGTCCAATTCAGTGTTTCATTTGAAAATTGAGTGTCACAGTTTTATAGTTGCCTGTGTGTGCTTCACTGGTCAAAGCAGTTTGGGATGCAGTGAAGGAGGATATTTCCCCCCCATGTTAAAAGCTGTACCACCGGAGTTTGTCAACGCTGTTGACTCTGCCGACCCGCTGTGGTGTGAGGGGAAGCGTGGTGGCACCGGCTCCTGGTGCCGGTGGTGCTGGCTCTTGGGCTCTGCTGATGGGCTTGGGCTCCTTGGGACACGGCTGAGCGCAGACCTGCAGGTGGATTCGGCAGCAGGGCATGCGGCAGAGGCACAGCCGCAGAAACGCATCATCTTTTCTTAATTGTAACGAGCCAACACTGGGAAATCCTTCCAGGAGGTTGTGTCCTGGGGGTGCTTCGTCTGCTCCAGGGGGTCAAAAATCAGTCCTGGGGCTTTGCTGCCTTGTAGAGCCACCTGTGGCAGAAAGGTCAAAGGCATATGTGGAGAACAACCAACTGGCCCTTCCAAATTTGAGTCTTAACGAAAGGTCACTTATCTTGAATGAGTTAAAATGCTTAGGTTTACACATTGCGTTTCCTTTTATTTTTAAAATAATTTATCAACTAGCACACTATCACTGTGAGTGATAGGGCTGGTGTTTGCACCCAGGAAGACAAACTACACTTTTTTTTGGTTTAATAATGATAAGGATTAGAAACATAGTCAGGTTTTGCCTTTACTTTTTAATAAAAGCCCCACATGAATGGATAGGTGGCTATCTCAAGCCCTGAGCTTCATTATCCATTCATTTATCCACTTGGATGCATGTATACAGCTCCTGTTGACAACAGTAGCTGCTACAAGACTCCTGAAAACATGGAGATAGATAGTTTTCCCTTCATTCTACTCTTACTATCTCCAGATTTACTTTATGTGCTTATTGCTCCTGCTGCAGAGAGGCCAGGCATAGTTTTAAGTGTTTTCTGGTCTTGTTAAGATGAGTTAACAGAGTTGAAGTTATTTGTGGAATAGGTTTGCGTGGAGGAAACTTCTGAAAGTTTAGACTGTAATATATAGGTCATATTACCATTAGCAAAAACAATTAGTAGTAGAATCCACTAAAAATATAGAGCTAAGTAAAAGGCAAAATAAATTCAAAATTATTCTTCATTCAGGGAAAGTACGTCTTTTTAGGGTAAAAGAGTAAGCAGCTTGGGGGAAACTTCCCTTCCCTGCATTCCTTATTGCGAACAAACTCCATGACCTTTGTGGGCTAATCCTGTGTAATGGATGATGGAAATATTTTAAAAATGTTAGAGACCTGCCCCTTCTTTCCTCCCAGCTGAGGACAGCATTGACTTTAGCGTGTGAAATGAGAGTCAGGTTCAATGAGTTACTGATAAGGAAGAGCTGAAGCAAATGCTACTCTCTCACAGCTGTAACATGACAGTCCCATTGTAATTTCGATTTATTTCATGTAAGTATTTTACAGGGTTCAGCACAGCTGTCCATTCAGAAACCTGCGTGGCAGCCCCTGGAAAAATGTAAAACCTTGCATATGTCTTGCAAGGACAAAACCATTGTTTCATTTTCTCCTGAGGCCTTGCTGGGCTTTGCAAGCTCACTCCATCTTTCCTGAGCTAATTCTACATTTAAATCACTTCATCTGTTTGATATTCTTAAATTTACTCCCCTCTGTTTTAATTTAACTGCAATGGTCGAGGTCATGTGTGTTGTTTGATACAGTTCCTACATACAGTAACTGAAAGTGTTCTGTTCTAAAAATGCACAGGTGAATATACAAGGAGCTGAAGATTATAGAAATCTTAATAAAAACTATGGGACCAAGAATAATAAAAGAGAATTATTTATATGAAATATATGAGAGCGAGAGATCTCTCTGGCCTTTCACCTAGCTCTTTTCATTTGCTTTGTGCAAAATTCAGCCTGGCAACCTTTTCAGTTTCCATGTGGTAAACATTTTTGGGCGGTAACTCTATTGTAGTACAATTGTTTTTGAATCCTGTCATAATTCTGTCAAGTGTAACTATTCATGATACAATATTTTGTATGTGGTAAGAATATATTGAGCGGTACACTTAATATAGACCATTATATACTGTAGCTTTTAAGAATAAAAAGCATAAAAATGTATATAAAAGCACAGTAGAGCTTGATTTGCAGTTCACTTTTACTTCTAAACTTGGATTAAAGGTATAGTTGGAAGTGGATTTAGTTTTATGGCCTTTAAATAAGTCTTAATTCTGATCTTCAACCTAGATGATTTTGTGTGTATCACATTTTGTTCTTTTGGTCCTGCATCTCCTCTGCTTTTACGTGTGATTTGCATTGTCACGTGTTGAAGGTAGAACAAAACCCCTCCACTGCGTGCACAATGCTCTTGATGAGAAAAAGCATCCGAGGAGGGCTGGTGTTTAGGAACGGGGTGTCAGGGGCGGTACGTCATCCACTGAAAGGCAACGTGTATCAACACAGTGTTTTGCTTGTGTTTCTTTTCCCCCTTGCTCCCCAGGGTGATTGGCTGGTTTTGCATCTGATGAAATTTTCATGCACATCCACAGAACAGTGGGATTCTAAGGATAGAGATTAATATTTCAGTAATTATACCGTGCCTGTAGGTCGCTGGAGTCCTTGGTGCATCCACAGAGGAACCCGGCTGTAGGTAGCGGTTCACAGGAATGCGCGGCAGGAGGAAATCCAGCCATGGGGGGGCTGCTTGTTGCTTTTGGCAAAATATGTGGATGGGGAAGGAAAGAATGCATGTGAGTGTCCTTTCCTGGAAATAAATATTTTGAGGAAAAGGTGGGTGCCGAGTTAATACAACATGGGGAGAAAAATGCCGATTGCTTCCTGGGCTACAGCAGTAACTTTAGGGCGCTGAATGTCACTTAGCGATGCCAAGGAGAGGTACCCAAGGCTGGATCGTGGCTCGGCAGCGTCACTGCTCTGCCTTTGCACTTGGGGGATTGCCAGGCGCTCTCTGTCTTGTGCTTTCAACATGCCTGGTCAAGGCTGGGCTTCTGGGACATTTCATCTTCCACAGACTCATGCATCCATTTCTCCTGTCCCTCCCTATTCCAGAGAACAGCCCATCTTCACCACCAGAGCCCATGTCTTCCAAATTGACCCCAGCACGAAGAAGAACTGGGTTCCCGCAAGCAAGCAGGCTGTAACTGTTTCCTACTTCTATGACAGCACGAGAAACAGCTATCGGATTATCAGTGTGGATGGAGCCAAGGTAGGAGGCTGATGGTACCCCGGCGTGTTTGCTGTGCTGAGAGGATCGTGACTGTCAGCCCTGGCTGAAGATAGACATAGATGGGCTACATTAAGCACTTAAGTTCATAAATACTAACTTTTTTATATAATCCATTATGGACACTTGTAGTGATAATTGGAAAAACACAGAGCACCTTAAAAGTGATTTTGCCAAACTTAATTGATTTTATCTCTGACTAAAGTTTGACTTCACGATCTTAATGAGCCAAGAGTTTTACGTGTCCAAATTGAGTCTGTAGCACAGTATCTAAACCCATCATCCATATTAGGTAGATAAGGCTGAGGCCTTTTTGGTGAAAAAATGTTCTTTTTAAAGGGAATGAGGAGAATGATATGTGCAGACTAGAGCTTTTAATGTTAATGCCAACTGCATATTCACTTTTGCCTGGTTGAACTGTTTGTGGGTTAGCACTTAATTTTCTTCAGCTTTTGCACTGGAGTTCATCAGCCTTAGGTGACAAATTAGGCATGAAGACTTTCCCCCCCACACTGTTTTTCTTATTTTGTTTTGCATTACCAGATAGTGTGCTGAAGTATTTCCTGTAAGAATCCCAATCAGTCGGATTGAACGGGTTGCTCAGACAATTGTTTTTATTACGTACTAGATTTATCCCTCTGGTTAGTCCCTCCAAATTAACTTGTAAGGTGACCGCTTTCCCCTAGCAGACCCCAGTCAGAGGTATAAGTTAAAACATTTCACTCATGTATAAAAATCATCGGTCATTTCTGTCAAAGCACAAACCACAGGGTAATGAGACAAGTTTACAGCCTTTTTATCTGTGTTCTGTTTGGATGAGGATGTTAAAATATCACTGTCCTGGGAGAGAGAGATCACAGAAATCATCCCTTAATAAAGCTTTTCTATTTGTCATGCCTATTTCACATACTTGTTTTTCCAAACATCTCCTGTGCTATATTTGGTTATATATTGGCTTATAAATCAGCCATACTGCCTGCTTAAATTGATGGTAATGTTTCATTGACATCGGTACAGCGTTAATATATCACCCACCATCATCACACTGTTTGTGCCAGTGTGTTCATTTCCAGAAACGCCAGCTAACCGCCCCGGCTGCCTCGGTTTGCAGTCGGCGCACACAACCCCTGCAACTTGCTGGGGAAAGCTGAGCCCCCCAAAATTTACTTACACCCCAGGGATACTCCTGCTCCTGCTCGGGCGAAGCTGGTGCTGGTGGTAGTGGGCTGTTGGCTTTACAAACTCAGGCGAGCGTGACTTCCAAGCCAAAACTGCTGTACTCGCAGCAGTGGGTCGCTTGATTTGTGGATGTGCATGCATGCATTAAGACCAATTAACGAAAAGAAAGTAATTACTGTATGTGGCAGGGGGAAGCTGCAGGGGCAGCGTATGCCCACAGCCAGAGGTCCTGCCCAGAACTGCAAAGTGTGTGCTGAGAACAAGATGGGCATCCAAGCTTTGCTTTGTAATCTGCCCAAAAGACATTCAGAAGGAACCACCCCCCTGTTGTAGCATGTCCAAGAAGGAGGTGAGCTTTCCATGATTAAAATTCTCCCCTGGGGCTTCCCGAGCAAGAATCAATTGCTGGCCACATGAATTATTCCTCTTGTATTGAACCTTTGTTGATTAAGGAACAGGTCGAGAAGAGATGCTGCCTTCATGCTCACTTCTGGAGAGTCCCCAGTTACCCTGCCTGTCCATTTTAGGAGTGCCGATTTGGAAAAAGAAGGGTGTTTATACCCAAATAAGTTAAAAGTTGCTTTTCTCCCTCAAACAACTATTGTTTAGTGTTTTGACCTACTTTTCTAGTCAAAAATGAAGCTGGGTAGGACTGTGAGGAAGAATATAGACAGCATCGGTTGGTGTTGTCCTGCTTTCTGTACATTTCTCTTATTAGAATAGTCTTCCACGTGTTGGCAAATACCAGATGGATTAGCATCACAGCATCACTGTGGGCAGAAGCTATCTCTGTTTTAAAGACAAAAAATCTGAAGCTCAAGTAAATTAAGGGACTTGGCCCTAGAAGGAAGATGGTCATGAAGGACGTGTGTCTCTTGCAATTCTCCATCCTTGTCTGAACTGCAAAGGGGCTGTTCTAACAGTTTATTTTAGACAAACATATACGATGAACATTGGCTTGCAGAGAAATCTCACTTAAATCGAACTTGTATGCAGCTGTTGGATTAATTTTGGTTTTTTTTTTTACCTTACGTTGACATTACATAGTAACAATAAAAATATTTTAAAGTGATCAAGAATACAGAGCACTTCACTTAAACATTGTTCGTTACCCGGTTGCCTAAGCTTTATTTTACTTTTAGCATTCAATGTATCACTCTGGGCAGCGTGTTGAATCGCAAGTATGCGGAGTGACGTAGGGCTGCTGAAACCCGTTAGCGCTGCTGTCGTGCAGAACATTGGGGCGGGCTGCGTAACGTCAACCTGAGGAGTATTTAGTTTCTCCTGGTGCACCACCAGCCCGATGGGCTGTGATTCTCGCAGGAGTGGCTTCCTCAGGCTGCTGCTGCTGTCCCTGAAGGTCCGGGCCCTCCGCAGTCCCCTGTCCTTCAGCCCCATCCTCTCTTCTCCCAGCAGGCGTAGCCTGTCCCCTTCTCCTTCCTGGCAGGTCCCTGTCCCTCACCCCCAAACCCTGGGGCGCAGGAGGTGAGGAGGGGTGCCGCAGGGCAGAGGGGAGCGGGAGGATTTAGGAGTGGCCTGAAGGGGGGGGTTAGGGGAACCGCTGAGCCTGTGCGTTCAAAGGCGTAAATATTGGGAACTCATTTTGTGAGCACGGCTGGCAGAGGAGTGGGGGAGTTGCTTGGCTGTGCTGCCTGGCACAGCAGGACGCTGCCTTCAGGTCCTTACCCGTTTGCCAAGCGGTGGGGAAGGACAGAAGGGCCTGGCTGGTACATGCGGCGGTGGTGAGGACGGACATTGCGGCAAAGAGGAAAATGGGACAGAAAGGGAGTAGGGTAAAGGTAGGGAGCAGAGTGAAGTCAAGGGAGCTTAGCTCTTCCCTTGCAGAGGGATATGCAAGAGGCTCATCCTGAAAACCAGGAGTCCAATATGATGGAGGGCAGCCAGGCAAGAGCGTACGCCTTCCAGAGCCAGGATTCTTCCAAATCCTCCCAGGCCAACGACAAAAAAACCCACTGAAATGCCCGGGGAGTCAAGCACTGAAAAGTGGAGACCCTAGATTCCACACAGCTTGTACCACTTTAATTCCTCGTGTTTGCAAAGCTAGAAGAGAACAGGTATTACAATTCCTGCGTCTTTCACAGAAAAACAGGTGCTGTGGACAGTAGCTTACAATTTATAGCAAAAGATTTCAAGATACCATACAAGTATGCACTGGATGATCTTAACCAAGATACCATTACCAAACAAGGGAATAGATTAGTATATCTTTTAATTACCTTATAATTGACTTGTATGTTGTCGAGAAAGTAATTTCATCATGATGTTTTAAGAAGTTTCTAGCCAGAGGCTGTTTAAACTGCAGCATAATGAATGCTGGAGGAAATGATACAGTAAAATGCAAGGGCACACGCTGATTCAGAGTTAATGAGGCAGGCAAGAGACTTCACCATATGAAAGTGCCCAGGGTTGTGGGCAAAAGTCAACCCTGTTGAAAAATGACAAAATACGGTGATGATGCAGGGAGAACATGAACTCGCAAGTGCCCGGTTGCTGTGTAGTGTGTGGGGAAAGCGACACACAGGGCTCCTCATTAAAAGTGACCTACATTATTCTGCCTTTTAGAGGCGAAAAGAAAGTTTGAAAGCATGAAAATTACTCAGACCGATATCCATCGTCACTCTCTGGAGTAATGCTCTGGTAGTGCCCTGGTTGGTGGGTTTGTTTATTTTTTATAAATTGGAAATATGTGTTATCCAAACAATATAGACAAGGGGGGAAGGACAAGAAACTTGTTTCTGTGTAGAATTTGAGAAGGAAATACAATCCCTCAGAAACAACCTTCTGTCCTCATTTTCAAATGTTCAGATGTTATATTTCTACAGAACTTGTGATTGCAAGAGCATCATTTTCATCTTTTGAGAAATAAGTGGTTAATGAGGAACATAAAGCTATCTTAAAAATTAATAGCCAGCAATAAAGTGTATAGTGAGACATTCTGAGATGGCAGCAGCAAAGAAAAGTGACACAGCAAGAGTCATCTCAGATGCCAGTCCTAAGTTGTCTCTGTGAGATGCTTAAACAGATGACTAGAAAAAATTAAAATCAGGGTTAAAAAGATGAATAGATTGCAAGAGTAATTTTGGTAAATACATGAAACAGAAACAAAGACTTTGTGTTTCAGAGGAAAAAAAAGTCGGCTGACACATTCCCAGTTGCTAGATCATTTAAGAGAGTTTATTACCTAACAATTACCTTGAATATTGAAGATCAGCAGCTAAGTTGGGCATAAGTGTGAGAAAGTATTGAAGAGAGAACCAGAAAAATTGCTGTGCTGGGAAAGCAAAATCAGTGGGTCTATTTCTGAAGTAAATTGCAATTAGTAAGAATAAGAATATGGCCCAAATTTTGCCAATCAGTATTCACATAATGTACCCCAAAGTGAATACAGTACATTATATAGTATGATGAAGCTGTTTGGTTGGCGTATATGCCCTTATAATGGGATCTATCAGTGAGTGTCACAGCAAGAATGGACGGTATGATTTCCAGAGCAGAATGAAGCTAGCAGGGACAGAGCCCCAGCAGCATGTGGTAGCAGGTATTTAGGGAGGTAAGAAGGGATGATATGTAAATCTGCTAATATTTGATATATTTCTGGCTTTCTCAGTTCCTGTACCAATCCTAATTGCTACCTAATTTAATAGCTGCCCACCTTTTTATGACCATGCTTTTTTTGTTCTCACGACTGGAGACAGGTGTCCTCAGCACACGGGGAGGGAATTCAGAGTTCTTCCAGTGCTGTGTTCAGAGACTCAAAACAAGTTATTTTCTTTGCCCATGGA